ACATTACGCGTCCATGATTATTCGTGTGTATCTTCTACTGTGGCCTTATTTAGTATCTTAACATTCACAGTACATTACGTGTCCATGATTATTCGTGTGTATCTTCTACTGTGACCTTATTTAGTACTCCGCCCGTCATATCTTGATGTAATTTGGTTGATGCTGCAACGGCCGTCTATAGCCGATCATTTTGGGGCTAGTGCTCATCGCGAGCCCTGGTTAATTGTCCATTACGCAGGTCTGGAGTACCTTGCAGAGGCTATACGCCAACCGGCGCAAGCCAATGCGGAGAATGAGGTGATTACGTTACACATGAAGAACATCATAATCGGAATAGCTGCCAAACAGCAGAGCTTTGTGGTGAGTGAGGTGTCTACTGTGTGTGTGGTTGTTGTGTCTATTGTGTGTGTGCTTGTTGTATCTACTGTGTGTGTGGTTGTTGTGTCTACTGTGTGTGTGGTTATTGTGTCTACTGTGTGTGTGCTTGTTGTGTCTACTGTGTGTGTGTGGTTGTTGTGTCGACTGTGTGTGTGGTTGTTGTGTCTACTGTGTGTGTGGTTGTTGTGTCTACTGTGTGTGTGGTTGTTGCGTCTATTGTGTGTGTGCTTGTTGTATCTACTGTGTGTGTATTTGTTGTCTACTGTGTGTGTGGTTGCTGTGTCTATTGTGTGTGTGCTTGTTGTGTCTACTGTGTGTGTGCTTGTTGTGTCTACTGTGTGTGTGTGCTTGTTGTGTCGACTGTGTGTGTGCTTGTTGTGTCTACTGTGTGTGTGGTTGTTGTGTTGGTCGGGGGTTGATTGTAGGGCTACAACAACTCCACACACGAGAGTGCACCTGGCTGCTGTGAAGCTGAGAGTCAGTGGGTGGGTTGGAGGTAGCGATGGTTAGCCGTCTAGAGGGGAATTAGGACCGATGGATGCTTTGCGTCGGCCTCTCATTCGCATATATAATCAAAGTTGAGCGTATACAAAGCATATGAATATATATATATACATATATATATATGTGTGTGTGTGTGTGTGTGTGTGTGTGTGTATTTATCGATATATGCACGTTTATGTGTGCGTTGTTGTATATTTTAGTATCTACAAACACATCCCACAACCTAATCCTGGTAAGGAAGCGTAAGTTGCGATACATATTGTAAAATCTTACTCGAGTTTCTACTACGCTGTACTACCCCATCCATATCGTTCCAATACCGTAGTCACCTCAACCATAACGTTATCACATAACACACATCTATATCTGCAACCTCTGAATGGCGTTGTGTGGCACAGGATGTCGTTAAGGATATGAATTATTCGGCACAGCAAGTGGTGAGGCAAGTGGTGCCCTTCCCACTCAGCGACGGTGATGACCTGGCCGCAGAACCATCGGCATCTCTGCGGTGTGTTTTTATACTGGTGTATATACACGATATATACATGCATATGTACGTGTTGTTATGGTGTTGCTATAAATGTAGCTATGTATACATACAAACATCTAAACATGAGAGAGTGTGTGTGTGTATGTGGGTGTCTCTATGCGATGTATTTGTGTGGTTTTCTTTGTGTTTGTGCATTCATATGGTATTTTTCATACGTAGTATACAAATATATTTATATACATGAATGTGTGCGTGTGCGTGTGCGTGTTTTGGTATGATGCTGTGTACATGTATCAACAATGAGTCGAGTTTTTATTGTGGCGCAAGTGGTGTCGTCTCAACTCTTCTGTACCGAAAATGCATCCCGTACTCTAAATTCCGTTACAACTGGAGTTCTTTCTAGGCTAGCATCAACACGGTAGGCTCTGTATTCCAATTTTCCATAGAGATACGTATATCGAAATAAATGTTAATGTATATATATATATATAAGTGTGTGTGTGTGTGTGTGTGTGTGATATTTCTGGGCTTTTCGCAATTAAATACTGATTACGTGCTAGGTATTTTCTATTCACTATTTTAATCATTTTCAAATCCGATCACATCCTCAGTTCGGCTAGCTCACCCACGGCTACAGCAAATTCGCAAGACAACGCCAATACGATTCAGCAAGCGACTCAGGGTGCGGACCTGATGGATATAGGTGCAAATGAGCCCAAAATCACGCTTACGGGTGAAAATAGGACACTTGCGCGTGACACTCCGGGTGGCCCTGTGGGGTTTGTACGATATCACTCTTCATCATCGACATCATCGGCCGTGGCTGCAGGTACACACAGCGAGCTGGCTGGGCAGGTACATGAACTTAGAGACGCACAAGTACACGCACAAGTACAAGCACAGGCGTACGGGCCTGTGCAGACCTTGGAAGGATGTATTCGCGCAGACATGGGTGAGGGTGTTGGATCCCCAGAGAGTGGTGCGCCCATGGGAGGTATGGACTCAAAGGATACCTTGGACCATGCACACGCATACTCCAACCAGCAGTATGAACACGCACACAACAACCAGCAGTATGAACACGCACACAACATTCAGGAGTATGAACACGCACACAACAATCAGGAGTATGTACACGCGCACAACAACCAGGAATATGCACACGCACAAGTGGACGGGAAAGGGAGTGAGATGGATGGTGTACACGTGGGCGCTGCAGGACAAGTAAACGATGGCTCACGTGAGGGTCTAAGCTATCACGGGGAGGCTGACTCGGGGTACATACCGGCGATGAGTCATGCTCATCTGCAAGGCCCCGGCGATGGTTCTGCTGCCATGGATACGAGTGTCACTTCGCACATGGACGTGGATATTGAGAATGATAGTGAGCGTGCAGACAGTACCCGTCCCGTTGCCTCGGATACCGGTGGTGGTGGGGAAGAGAGCGTGCCGTACGAGGAAGTGGCCACGACAGCTGCCACACACACTGATCTACACACAACACCCACACTCGCGCAAGGGGTCACACACAGTGATGCAGATACAGAGGCAGATGTGTATGCACAACCGAAGTCAGATGCAAGGCCGTACGCGTCCGATGACAATACGCAGATACACCCACATACACAGCCTCACATACACACACACCTGCATGCACCCACGCAGCCGAACACGCCCGTTAGAGAGACGCTACAGACACGGGCACAGAGTGCCGAAGCATTACTACAGAGTACCGAACATGCGCGACGACTAGAATCGACGGTGAATGAGTGGAGGACACCGCAGAAGGAGCGCAAAGGGGAACGTACCTACACCCCTGCACCACCGTACACAGGCACACGTGTGCAGAGCCACCCACAGGAACACCCGCAACGAGACACACACACCCCCACACACGCACACGCGCGCACCAGTACAGTGCCGCATACAGTGACGCATACACCAGCGCGTGAGGAGGGACAGATAAGGGGTGATGCTGGAACGCACATGCATACTTCGGGGAAGGCCCTGGTAAGCACGAACGCAGATAATTACACAGACACGGACACTAGCCCATGTTCCAACATAAACACGCACGTGAATGCCAATGCGGATACAAGCACCAACGTAAGAACGACCAGGATACAGAGCGACGATGTAGCCATGAGCATGACACCTGAGAAGGGCATGCGGACGGATACTGTGCGTAGTGTCGAACAGGCAAGCACACACGTGAGTGGGAGCATTCGCAGAGCGGAGAGTTTCAGTTGGAGAGACACTTCCAGTGCTAAGAAAATGGGTGGGGACGCGGGGGTGGGCAACCGTAACCATGGCAACGGTGCCGGAGGTGATGTGGTCATGGAGACGGATACGCACACGCAGGCCGCAACTGTCACCACACGACACGCACCGTCGACAGCGACAGGACAGAGTCTCAGACTAAACTTAAGCTTGAGTCCACGTAGACTGGATGGTCTACTGGAGGATGAGGTTTCCACTAAGTCTTGTGAACAGGTGCAATCAGAACCAAAGGACAACAATGGGTTTGAGTCAAATACAAGTGTAAGTTCACCCAGTATTTTGGCTCCAGGTGCGGTGAAATTAGGACACAGAACCGAACCGGCACCAGGCCTGAGCACATGGCGGTCCACAGCCTCAGTGTACAACAATTCACCGGCAGCTACACCAAAGCCACCTAGCACCAAGACCGCTACCAGCACAGGCAAAGGCAAGGGGGTGAGTGCTACTGTACCTACACGCACACTGTCTGTGAGTCAGCTGTCTGCGCTCCCGCACACGCAGACAGCCACCCCTGAGCAACTTGACGAACCCGCGCAGCCACCCACGCCGGTAAGGACGTACACACCCACCCATGGCAAGGGCTTATCACCTTCGTGTGACCAGAATACAGGGCTTGTCCGTGAGGAGAGTGTAGTACTTGTGCGTGAGGGTAATGGTGCAGGCGCTGGCAGGGACAGTGTGGGTGCGACTACAGTTGAGGAGAAGGAGCGCGATACGCGAGCATCGCCTGCCGATCCCGAATCAAAAGCGGGGGTGGAGATTGGTAACCATGGCAACGGCGGGGAGGAGGAGGACGGCAATCGCAGTCCCCTATCGAGTAGAGAGTCACTCAGTAGTTTGAATAGAAGCGGTATATTTACAAATACCTCGGCAGTATATGCCTGTACCACTGCATATCCACAAAACACTGTACATTCACCTGCGCGCGGGGTAGAATCAACACAGTGTTTCTCCCATTTAGCGCAATGGTTCATGGCTGTAAATAAAGACACGGACAACCTCCAAGGCGACACCTGTCCAGTGCCTACCAACAAGAGCATCACCGAACATATTAGTGAAATCACCAGCACAGAGCAGATGAATATCCGTGGAAGCGCGAGGGAGTGTGTTAACCCTAATACTGATGCACTGGCAAAGGATGTGCGGATAGCGGGCCAAATACCTGCACACACCCGCGCCAGTACCGACACACCCGCGCAAAACGATACACAAACTCAGTTGCGACAGTTTTCCTCTGCGCATTACGAACGCTCATTGTCGTTGAAGGACGATGATCAAGTGAGTGTCGATGACTTGGCCGAGGCAATATCCTCTGCACACGTGACCCCTCGAAAGACGCCTGCACGCAAAGGAGTGGGAGCGACCCACACCCCCGTGCGTACGCCTATGCCAGCCCTCCATCACTCGGCGATGAAGGCCATGCCCCCTCCCGGAACGATACAAATCATAAGCGCCTCTTCCTGTGTGGATTTGGACTAAGACACGGTACAGTATTGTTTTTGACCGCTTTCGTCCCGAAGTGGAGGTGGGTGTTAGCATTCTCTAATAAAACGTTGAATATCCGTGTGGCCATCTGTAGTATCGTTGCGGCGTTTAAAATCGCTACCAGATTTTGGTAGAGAAATTTATTTATTTTTTGCGTACACAAAAAACTCGGACAGATCTCTTGTGAACACCTGAATCCATACTATGGGCAAGTGTCTTTAGTGTGAGGGGGATATTGTTTTTATTTGTTAGGTCCTTGTGATATTCTAGTCTAGAAATTGTCTAATAGTTTGTAGGGTGGGTGGGTCGTACTGCAAGATTTGATTGACTCATCGGTTGCATCTGTATGAGAGATCTCTTCGTATGTAGGACTTTTTCCCCTATTTATACGGCGCAGTGTCCTACTAGAAGTTTTTGCTGCGATGTCCCTGGCAGTCCATTTCTTGCTACTGTCAGTTTGTGGTTTTGTACATGACACTCGACATTGGGGATTCATGCACCTCGCCATTTTCTTGGTTTACTATATAGTAAGTGTGCTTAGTAACCTCACCACCTATTGGCTGTATAGTGCCATTTAGTAGAAGTAATCTCTCTAACTATTGGTGGAGCAATGGTAATTTCATTTATACCCGCGATAGTATACTGGTCCTATGTTTGTGAGTCTCAAACAAATAATTAAAGTATAAACAAGGATATACACATATAGACATACGTATTGAACTATTATTACGAGTTTAGTGCACACATACCGCACGAACTAAACCAAGTATGAGTCTTATACACGCCTAAGCTTAATAGGTACTCAGCGTCGGTTCGCGTGGAGTAGATAGCAAAAGGATGGTAGTGGAAGACCGGCTTTATACACAAAGTCCAGATGCATCAGATCTAGAAGCCGATCCTGATGACAAAGACCTACTCTATAGTTTGACAGTTTTGGATGAAGGAGAAGCGGTGGATGTAATAGCTTACTTTCGAAGATATAACTCAGCTGGTAGAGGTAGATGAAGACCACATTCAGTAAGACAGGTTGACTGCATTCTTCAGCTCTATTCAAAACATGTGGAGAGTTCCCTTGATGATACTGCAATGTTTACTACACAAACTTCAGCAACAATCATTGAGAAAGCGCTACAGGATCTCGCAAACCGTGAGATTGCTATTCCGAAAAAGACACTATTAACAGACTTCTGGTCTAGGGTGCTTGAAGATGGTTCCGTGTAACGGATCTGGTTAAAGTTCTACGTCGTCATCCGTTTCAAAGAGATTACTTCTTCAATCTAATGAATGCTATACACGTATGGAATGATCAAGATCGAGCGTATGCGAATCAACGGTGTAGGCAGCGCGGTACAACTTTAGAAAAGTTCTATTTAGTAAAAAGGGGCTTAAGTATATGCAACGGGGGGTGAGACGCTACATACCGTACATTTGTACAAGCGCGTTAAGTTAGTATTCGATACTTTTGCTGATGAGATATAAATACGTAAGAAAATACTCCGCTATTTCGAAAAAAACGCTAAGAAGGATGCGGAGGGCGTACTGTTCTTATATACGGGGAGTTACATAGGTGATATACCGGAACTGGAACTATATGAGGTATAACTTTGTGTCTACGTGAGTCAAGCGTTGTATTCCCAACATGAACTAAATATAAATATTATGTACGGACACCCTAATATGTGTAATCGACCAAATACACTTTTCTATGCACACGGCTTGCTCACGTTTGGATAGTAATGGCTTCACGCTCTGGTGGTGCGCCCACGGTACGATCGTACTGAGACAGTTTGGTTGCAATACAATGGGTCCCAGGAAAGCTGACATCTTACTCGCAGAATGGCGACATAAACATAATCACCTACAGGTATTTCGTGATGCATTAATCAATGTTTATTCTATAAGTTCTAAATATGTTAAAGTCGGTTGCATGCACTAGTGGTTCAATATGTTCACAAATTGAATAAATAAATTACACTTCAGGCTATTATTAGATAGGGAGATTGGACGTTGGCCACTTCGAACAATGGAATCATACTCACTTGGCACACTATACAAGAAAACTATATGACACCGAGCATATTACACGTGGTAAAATCTGGAATGCCGTGCCGAATTTAGGAATTCAAATGAACAATTCGGTGTGTCAAATATTTGTGTTCGCTCTGTGAAGAAAGTTGAGCTAGACAAACTAGAACAAAGTTAATTGAGGGTAAGCCTCTCACGGCTAAAATATTATGGCTAGGCAAACGAATGGGAGTACCTGTACCATACCTCAGGGTGTCTAACAGAGTGGAAAAACGTCTCTACACAAAAGGCTTACAATTGAAGTCAAGTGATGATTTTGAGGCTCTTGCGCTGAAGTGGAATACAGCTGAAAATGTAGATGGGTATATAGTTTTCCTCGGATTTCCTGAGAGTTTACAATAGTACGCAAACTGGCTCAAGGAGAATAGCAATAAAACTATGTCCATGGCTGGCGTTATAGGGCAATAAAAAGGAATTGAAAGCGACTTTGTTCAATACCAGACAAGGCAGCGTTTTGTCGCGGACCAAGTTGGCCAGAAGTGAGCACGTTAGGTCACAAGCCCGCCAGCTACTAGTATGCCCTCAAATAACAATCAAGTACCTGATGCTCCGCTGCCGCCTAATTCACACAAAAAAATATATACCAAAAGCCAGGAATGAAATCAAAACCGCAAACCAATGTAGCAGACGGTATAAAAGAAAAACGTCCATTCAAACGACCAACACTGGCAAATAAACATGTCACAATATTTCCGCCAATGCCAATAAAAAAATACAATTATAACAATTTGACCCGTTTCGAGTCCCACGTCAACACATGCAAGACCTGAACAACAGAGAAAGCGTGCGCGTGCATGCGCATATTGTAAAGATCCAGACTGTCCTGAGAAGTGGTATAGAAGGGATTGTAGCTGCCCGGGAGTACAGATAGCAAAATAGTATGCGCACATAGAAAATAAAGGACAATTTTTCGTTAGGAAAAATGAGACCTATCTTTTATTGACCAATTTTAAGGTGTTATTTTTGGTCGATTTCGTGATCATGTCTTAGTCTTCTGCACGATATAGAACGGGGTTTCCCCGCAATCACCTAAGATAAATCGCGGATTTCGAGGCTGTAAGCTGTTAGGTATTATAGTCAGGCGTTCCTGTTTTCCTGGTGGATTATGAACATGATTAACCAGTATTGTATGTAATCCATTCAAACTCGGTCTTCTTCTGGTCTACTATCACACCTTCCGCAATGATATCACTTGTGCGACCTCTTCTATTTTGTACATAAACCGGACCCGTCAAATTTGCTTCATGCACTGGTTCTTATTTGCGAAACTTAAACAAATAATCTAATAGCATCTGGATCCAGACTACATCGCCGGCCGCATATTTAACTTGAATTGCGGTCAAATCCATTGACGACCAAGTTGACCTACGAATATCTGATTTACCCTCAAGACGTATATCAAAAGTACACTCCATCATCGTGTATAGGCCCATATTTGCGGTGAGTGGTGCAGGCAATAAACCCGCTTCCTTCAACAAACGCCCCTGACATTTTAGTGCCAGCACTCGCATTCGGTTCAGTTTATTGTATGTTTTTCAGGAAATGCTGGAAATTTCTAAGGAAGCTTCGCATCTGCTGTTTGTACACGTGGTACACCGATTATGTATCCAATTTTGTGTTTGGGGTAACAATAACAAATTGGAATACTTGTACCCTAGAGTGCATTCCCGTAGATCTATACACGACCTATTCCACATCAAATTGTATGATTGAATTTATACCTGCGGCAGGTATAATTATGTCAGCTAAATGTGTGCCTAGCTTCCCTTTGTTGACTATGTATTGCAGTTACCAATCATCAGATATCTTGTCCACCGGAACCCCGTATCACTGCGGCTGCTGATACACTGATAATTCTGGGAGGGTATCTAGAATCATATGTCTATCGCTAATGTTGTGAGTGTAGTATCCCTTGACTTTACAACCCAACTTCTTGAAGCGCTCACCAATACTATTTAAGACTGGTTTTACCTCCCAGACCTCTTCGTAATATCCATAGGTTGACCCACGACTTGGCCTTGCCTATTTATGCTGGTATATAATGCGCAAAATAGCCGATTTCCCTGCACCCAGGTGCATGGCGTGCTCGCCATCGACAAATTTTGTCGTTAATATTTGCAATGTCTGCAATATTACATAAAGGCGGTATAAAATGTTCTTACCCATCGTTGTAGCCTTTGTCAGCGACGATCATCTCACCAGCGTCGAGGAATTCTAGAAGACGCATATGTGACAAGTAATATATGCTTTACCACCACGCACTGTGCCATTAACATAACACCCCTGTCCCTAATTGAAATAGCAAACTCATAGTTGTAGGCGGCGTGATATTGTTTATGACTCTTCATTGAAGGATCGAAAGGACGGGGTTCGGGAACGTAACAATCGACACCGTCCACAGTCACGAATGTATTTGAAATATCACCAGGCTGAAACAAAGGTTGTCGAATTTCCCATACGATCTAAAAAAATCGATACTAGCATTGTTTCAGACAATGTTGTACGTGTGGAATTTATGAACAAAAGTATTTTACTCTACATTAATAGCAATTTGGCGAGTACGCATTATTAATAATTGCCAAATGCGTTTTATTTTCAAAACATATACAGTTCAATCTTGATCCGTTGAACCCAAACTGTGGAACTTCCTTTATATGACATATCAATACCATCACAAATTAGTCAACAGCTACAATAATGTAAAAAGTATAACCGGTGTAATGAAGCTAAAATAAAATAAATTGTCCCTATTGAAGCCTAATTTGTTGATCTCATTGCTTAAAATTTACTGAACCCACTTCGGTGTTGGCTCATAAACTAAAATGTAAATTATACGTTGAAAATTTAGAATGTTTCAACAAAAGGTTTCGACACACCGACATCTGGGAATTAACTCAGTTGGTAGAGTGCGTGCTTTGCATGCACGAAGTCGGGAGTTCGATTCTCTCATTCTCCATATTATTTTTTATAAGAAACAATCTTAATAAATTGATCACGC